AAAACACATTTTTCTTTGTTTCTGTTATAAAAGTTTACAAATAAATTGTTCTTCGTAAATTTAGGCCGAGATGTATTCTGCTACATGTCTTTGGTGAAAATAACCCAAATTAGGATGTATTTTTTAGTTTGTAGGAAAGTTATAGAGTTCACAAACTATGGTATATATCTGAATATTCATCAATCCTGAAGTACTGACAGCCAATCTAATTTCTTGAGGTCCAAGAATGTCAGAACAGTACAGATATCCCCCAAATGACCCCTTTTTGCAGAAAAAAAAAATATATATGTTCCACAAAGTTTATTGAGAAAAAGTCAAAACATATAAATGGTATAAATTGTACAATGTAATACAATGTGCCAAAGAAAAACGCGGTAAAACACAAATCGCACATGCCAAACAATAAGAAATATGCAGGTGAACAAAATAATAAAGCCCTCTCGTGTCACCTGTAACAATAATGAAGTTGAACTTGGAGAAAAAAAAAAAAAAAAAAAAAAACACGAGAACACAAAAAAAAAAAAAAAAAAAAAAAAAAAAAGAAGGCAAACACCAATCATAATCACCACATAGCATACAAATATCACCAAACGAGCAGGATCATTTATTTGCACCCCCAGATTTCTTTCATCGTCGAGTAGCAGAGTAGGGGGGAAGGGAATAAAGCTAAAGGTGCTGGGCTTCTGGTGCAAGGAAGAAGTTGCGAAAATATAGAAAGCTCGGTGTTATCCAGGGAGAGCAGCAAAGGTACCACTCAAAGGTAGCCAACGCATATGAAAAATTACTCCGTGGAATGGGAGAGGCACATGTGCAAGTGTATTCCGGGTGTGAGATTAGGTTGCCTATGGACAGCGGAATAAACATAAGTGTAGAGGAAAAAGAAAAAGGGAAAAAATTAAGTGGAGAAGATGTGAAAAACAGCAAAGACAGTACTGGCAGGTACAGGGCACAACGAGGAAGGAGTCGGGGGAGGAAAAAAAAATAAAAAATGGTGAGAAGCTGGAAAGCCAAAGAAGGAAGAAGAAAAAAAAAAAAAAAAAAAAAAAAAAAAAAAAAGGGGGGTAAGGGGGGTAAGGGTCAAAGGGGAAGGAGACTAAGGGGGGGGGGGGGCGGTATGGATAGACATGTCATATAGGTGGAAGCTCCAAGGACAGAGCTGGTGTGCTCATCCCCTAGGGGATAGAGACATAAAGCAGACAATCGGGCACCAGGGAAAAGGAGTGTCTCACTACCTGATCAGTGAAAGGGATATAATAGAAAAGTGTTATCGACAGCCCAGCAAGGGTCGAGGAGTCAGTACAATACAGAGTGTAATACAAAGCCACAGGTCTGGCTCAGAGTCAGGTAGAAAGACCCATGAGGGATTGGTAGTCGGGGGTCGTTTGGAAGTGGGTCCAACACGACCAAGTATGGGAGAATTTAGTCGGGTTATCTTGGGAGGAAGCAATCAGCTCCTCCATCTCTGCAATTCTTCCCAGACGAGTGAACCAATCTTTTATTGAGGGGGGTTGAGTAGATCTCCAAAGCACAGGAAGACAAAGTCTAGCAGCATTAATCATATGCATTGCTAACGATCGGAAGTATAGACGTGGGGGGAGCGGTGTATGGTGGAGGAGAAATTGGGCCGGGGAGAAATCGAGAGGTAAAGTGGACACTGACGAGGTTATACGGTGGACTTCCCGCCAGAAGGGCAGGACGATAGGACAGGACCACCAAATATGGAGAAGGGACCCATCGGGTGCTCCACATCTCCAACAATTATTGGGTAGAGAAGGGTTAAAACGATGAGTTCTGGAAGGGGTAATGTACCAACGGGAAGCTAGCTTGTATCCGTTTTCTTGGGTCGATACATTCAGCGAACATTTGTGGGAGTATGTAAAAATTTGGTCCCAATCTGAGGAAGAAAAATCTATATCAAGGTCTCTCCTCCAAGCTCGGCAAGCGGGGAGCGAGTTAGGATTCCCATCACCGGTGAGAAGGAGGTACATGGATGAGATTAGATGCCGCTGGGGTTCAGCCTTAGAACAAATTGATTCAAAGGGGGTGAGAGGACGAGTCCATTTGAGGCGGTGAGCAGAGGATGTGAGAAAATGCCTGATTTGAAGGTAGGCCCAAAAGGGGAAGGTACGATCTTTCATGGTGCTCGCCAAAGAGGAGTAGGATTTCAATTGGCCTTTATGAAAAAAGTGTTCCGCTTTCACCTGGTCATACGGCCAATGTTCCGACAGGAAGGCCTTGTGCATACCCGGAGGGAAGTCCGGGTTTAAGCAAAGGGAGGTTAAAGGGTTGGGGGCATCCGAGATGGAGGCCGACTTGCATGTCAAGCGGAAGATGCGCAAGGTAGGACCAATCAGTGGATGAGTGAGAAGGGCCTGGGGGGTATGTTTCGTCAAGAGCCACGGGATCGAAGCTATAGGAGAAGGAGAGAAGGAGTTTTCGAGATGCACCCAGTCTTTGGTAGTTGAATGAATATTCCAATCTATAATTCTGCAAAGATGGCAGGCCCAATGATATTGCCTGAGGTCTGGGAGCCCAATCCCACCCCTGGATTTGGGGAGAACCAATTGGCAGAAAGATATGCGCGGACGCTTGTGGTTCCAAAGGAAGAAGGAGCACATTCTCCTACATGAAGCGAAAAAGGCGGGTGGCAAGTGGATAGGTAAGGTTTGAAATAAATAGAGGAGGCGGGGGAGAATGTTCATTTTTAATATAGCAGCTTTGCCGAACCAGGAAAAGCATGGTCGATGCCATTTAGTGAGATCTTCCTGAATGGATTTAAGTGCTGGGATAAAGTTTTTTACATAAAGGTCAGAGAGGTCGCACGTAAGCTGAATGCCCAGGTAAGTGAGAGTTTCACTGTCCCATCTAAACGGGAACTGCGATCGGCAAAATGAGACTACATCAGAAGGGAGGGTGACATTGAGGGCATTAGACTTTGAATGGTTGATTCTAAGGTTCGACATGTATTGAAAAAGTGAGAAATCTTTAAGCAAATTGGGCAAGGTGGTCCGAGGTTCCGTTAGAAACAGCAAAATGTCATCCGCATAGGCGGCGAGTTTATACTCTTGAGCCGGAGCGGAAACGCCCTTAATATTTTGGGTTGGAACGGAGTTTACGCAGCAGTGGCTCTAATGATAGCACAAAGAGGAGAGGAGAAAGGGGGCAGCCCTGGCGCGTGCCATTGCCGAGAGAGAAATGGTTCGATAAATGGCCATTCACCCGAACCTGTGCCGTGGGTCCAGAATACAAGGTCATGATGAAATTAAGCATGTGTTCTCTCAAACCAATCGCCTGAAGGGTTGCCCTCAAATAATCCCAGGACACTCTGTCAAAGGCCTTCTCAGCGTCCAAAGAGAGAAGGAACCCAGGAGACTTTGATGTGCGAAGCCAATGGATAAGGTTGAGGGCCTTGATAGTATTGTCTCTCGCTTCCCTGCCAGGGATGAAACCCACTTGATCGAGGTTAATCAAAGAAGGGAGTAAGGGGAGGAGACGGTTGGCCAGAATTTTAGCATAAAGTTTCACGTCTACATTCAGAAGGGAGATGGGCCTATAATTGGAAACCAAAGTTGCATCCTTATCCCCCTTGGGTATGACAGTGATGTGCGCTTCTAGAAGGCGATGACACGGCACAGGGAGCGAAGAGAAAGTGTTGAAAGCCGAGAGGAAGGGGATGGACAAGACGGGTAAAAACTCCTTGTAATATACCGCAGACAGGCCATCAGGGCCCGGGCTTTTACCAGACTTCATTTGTTTGACGGCCCGCGACAGTTCCTCAGCCGTGATATTTTGCTCCAGTTCCAGGGCGGATGTCTCAGAAAGTGCAGAAGGGCTATAAAGATGAAGAAAGTCCGAGATCACCGTGGCTCTGAGTTTGTTGGTTTCAGGTGGGGGACGTTCCGGAGGGAGGTTATATAATGCCTTATAATACTGCTCAAAATGAGAAGCAATGTCAGCATTAGTGGTGGCAAAAGAACCGTCTGGACCCCTGATTTTGTGGATTGTTAAGCTCGACTTTTTCGCTTGAAGGGATCTGGCGAGGAATCGCCCGCTTTTGTTTGCAAACTCATAAAATAATTTTTGAGACAAGACATATCTACGTTTAGCCACCTTACCCAGTTCGGTCAAAAGCTGCGTGCGAGTGTTTGTGAGTTCAGTCAAGGTAGAAGCCGCTTGACTGTGTTTGTGAACTCTTTCCAAAAACTGGATGCGCTCCATAAGTCGTCGCAAATGTGCTTGTCTCTCCCTTTTGCGCTTCGTAGCCATGGCTATGAGAATCCCGCGAATTACGCATTTATGTGCCTCCCATTGCGTCAAGGAGGAGGTATCTGAAGTCTGATTGGTCGCGAAGTAAGAAAAAAAAATATATATATATATTTTTTATATTATTATTTTTAATTTTTTATTACATTTTTTTTTATTTTTTTTAAGATTTTTTTTTCATATTTCACTATGACCAAAGTAGTACAATGTTACCATAGTAACATTGTACTACTTTGGGGAAGTGACAGTATTTTTTTTTTTTTTACACAATTTGCTTATAGCAAAGAATTACTTTGCTATAAGCAAGCATTTACCTGAATGACATCGATTCATTCAGGGTTTTTTTTTTTTTTTTTTTGTGCTTAGCTGTGATTTGGCCACAGCTAATCACATGACATGTGCATGTGACCTGCTGTGACCATTCACAGCTAGGCACTAGTATACAATGGATGGCATGAATGAAGCCATCCATTGTATACAACTGTCATGTGACCTGCTGTGATTGGTCACAGCAGGTCACATGGTACCGGCAACAGGGGCTGGTACTCAGATCTGTCATCGGCCGTGTCCGAGGTACACGGCCGGTGACAGATCGCGCCGCTGCGCGGCTCTGCAACCGCGCAGCTCTGCAACCGCGCGAACTGCGCATGTGTGGGAGGACCCCAAATGGCGTATACCCGGAAATCTGCAGCACTTTTGCGGCCGCCAAACGGCTATAGGCCAGGCGGCTAATGGAAAGAGCCAAAGATGTCGGCTCGGTCATGTGATCAGCTTTGTCCAATCACAGCTGATCACATGTAAACAGGGAAATGCCAGTTGTCTGCATTTCTCTCCTCGCGAGCTGTCACACTGACAGAGGAGAGGAGAGCCGGTAATCAGCATCCCTCGGAGGGGACATGTACACTGATCATCAGAGCACTGATGATCAGTGTGCCCTGATGATCAATGTAGCCCCAGCAGCGCCACCTGTCAGTGTCCATCAGTGCCAGCTGTCAGTACTCATCTATGCCACCTACCAGTGCCCATCAGTGTCACATTGCAGTACCTACCAGTGCACATCAATGCCACATATCAGTGCCCATCTCAGCTGCCTTTCAGTGTCACCCATCAGTGCCAGTCAGTGCCACCTATCAATGCCAGTCAATGCTGCCATTCAGTGCCGCCTATCAGTGCCAGTCAGTGCCGCCTATCAGTGCCAGTCAGTGCCGCCTATCAGCGTGCATCAGTGCCGCCTATCAGTGCCTGACAGTGCTGCCTATCAGTGCCGCCTAACAGTGCCAGTCAGTGCCACCTATCAGTGCCGCCTATCAGTGCCATATATGAGTGTTGCCTTTCAGTGCCCATCAATGATGCCTGTCAATGCTCATCAGTGCCTCCTAATCAGTGCCACCTATCAGTGTCCATCAGTGCATCCAATCAGTGCCCATCACTGCAGCCTCATTAGCGCACATCAGTGAAGGAGAAAAATCACTTATTTACAAAATTTTATAACAAAAACTAAGAAAAAACTGGGTTTTTTTTTCAAAATTTTCAGTGGTTTTTGGTTTAAGAAAAAAATTAAAAACCCAGACCAAATACCACCAAAATAAAGCTCTATCTGTCACAAACAAATTATACAAATTTCATATGGGTACAGTGTTGCATGACCGCGCAATTGTCATTCAAAGTGTGACAGCTCTGAAAGCTGGAAATTGGCCTGGGCTGGAAGGGGGTATAAGTGCCCTGTAGGCGAGGGGTTAATGCTACAAGGCAGAGCTTTATTTGAAATATATGAAGTTGTTACTTTATATTAAGACATGTGGGGATTTTATTTGTGCAGACTTGTACCTTACTGAAGTGTCCACTTTAAAAGAAGCTAAAAGAGAAAAAAAAAAAAAGAACAGAGTCCGTCAACTGTCAAAATACAAGCGGCGGCAAATTTCTCCCTCGATTTGACGTGACACGCCAGCCGCTCCCTATTATTAGTATCGCTCTCCAGAATCGAGAACACAAGCAGAACATGAGCAGAACATTTCTATTACTCTGCAGAATGAGCAGAGACACGCACAGACGTTCGCACTGTACCAAGAGAAATCCAGGCTGTCAGCTCCGTGCGCGGCTTACGGCGGAGCTGTCACCGGCAATACGCCGAGCGTCTCAGATGCCGCTGATAATCCCGTCACTTTGTTGTGTTAATGGAATATCTGTGAAATATTATTTGATTGCTCTATCGGTGCTTGTGACAGGCGTACCGAAGAAGAGCCGGCTGGCGATTCGCTTTATCGCTGCACGTAAACAGCGACAAGAATTAAAGGGAACCAGTCATTAACCAGTCTAGCTCTCACCTATGTGCCCCCTATGGACCAGAGCAATTTTTACATTTCTGCTACGAGACGGTTTCTTTCTCAAAAACGTTGTGATTACTTAACCACTTCCAGTCCGGACACTTTTACCCCCTTCCTGTCCAGGGCAATTTTCAGCTTTCAGCGCTATCACACTTTGAATGACAATTGCGCGGTCATGCAACACTGTACCCAAATGAATTTTTTACAATTTTTTTGAGACAGATAAAGATTTATTTTGGTGATATTTATTCACCGCTGGGATTTTAATTTTTTTTGCTATGTAAATGAAAATGTCCAAAAATTTTGAAAAAAAGTGTTTTTTTTTTATAAAATTTTGCAAATAAATAATATTTCATCATAAATCTTGGCCAAAATTTATTCCGTTATCTTTTTAGTAAAACAAAAAAAATCCAAATTAGTTTATAACCAAAAATTATAATTTTTAAACATTTTTTTTACATTTTTATTTTAATTTTTTATATTATTATTTTTTATTTTTATTGGGTTTTTTTTACATACTGTCACCCTAGCTGTACAGTGTCACCATGGTGACACTGTACTACTTGTAGGGGGTGATGAAGATATTTTTTTTTTTTACACTGATTGCTTTTACACCCATATAAGATGTAAAAACAATAATTTCTCTTTCTCTCTGTCTGCATTCTTGCAGTCATTGAGAAGTACTGAGTGAGCTGTGATTGGTCACAGCTTGTCACATGGTACAAGGCTGTTGTGAATAGCCTTGTACCATGTGACCTCTGTGATCATTCACAGATTTCACACGTAGTAAGCAATGATGTCACAAGTGACATCTTGCTTACTACTTTGCATGTGATCACTGATTGGCCAATCAGGGATCACATGATCGGGACCTCGTACAGAGGTCCAGTCCGACAATCGGTGTTTCACTGTGTCCGGAAGACACAGCGGGCACCGGATCGCGGTGCTGCACGCTCCCAGGGAGTGCGCACAAGCAGGGTGCGGGTAGGCCATTTATAAACAGCCACCCAACCCTGCACTGCCACCGTCCAGCTGTTTATATAGAACGGCCGGTCCGGAAGTAGTTAAGAAAACAAAGTAACAAATACATACAAGACTTTCATTTGTTAGCCCCTCGTATTAAAGTTTAAAAAATATTGTTACTGTAGATAAAAAGTATACAATAATTTGTCCTGTTTAAAATGACACAATGAAAAGTTTTGTGGGCAAAAAAAAAAAATCATTAGAAAAAAACAGTTTAGGGGAGAAGGGGTAGAAGGAGTTAATTGAAGCTGATTAAAGTAAAGGATCACATTTCATTTATTTCATGTATTTGTTTTATACTTATCATGTTGTTTGAACTGATATCATATGCAGATGGTTCTGAAGGTAAATAAAGACTGGATACCAAAGTAGCAATGTTTTTGCCTGATCAATGTGTATAAACAATGTTACTTTGTATCTATCTCCCGTTTGTTCAATGTTTATAAACAATGTTACTTTGTATCTCTCTATCTCCCGTCTGTTCAATGTTTATAAACAATGTTACTTTGTATCGCTCTATCTCCCATCTGATCAATGTTTATAAACAATGTTACTTTGTATCTCTATTTCCCATCTGATCAATATTTATAAACAATGTTACTTTGTATCTCTCTATCTCCCGTCTGTTCAATGTTTATAAACAATGTTACTTTGTATCTCTCTATCTCCATTCAGATCAATGTGTATAAACAATGTTACTTTGTATCTATCTCCTGTCTGTTCAATGTTTATAAACAATGTTACTTTGTATCGCTCTATCTCCCATCTGATCAATATTTATAAACAATGTTACTTTGTATCTCTCTATCTCCCGTCTCTTCAATGTTTATAAACAATGTTACTTTGTATCTCTCTATCTCCATTCAGATCAATGTTTATAAACAATATTACTTTGTATCTCTCTATCTCCTGTCTGAACAATGTTTATAAACAATGTTACTTTGTATCTCTCTATCTCCTGTCTGATCAATGTGTATAAACAATGTTACTTCGTACCTCTCCATCTCCCACGTGATCAATATTTTTAAACAATGTTACTTTGTATCTCTCTATCTCCAGTATGATCGATGTTTATAAACAATGTTACTTCATATCTCTATCTTCCGTCTGAGCGATGTTTATAAACAATGTTACTTTGTATCTCTCTATCTCCCGTCTGATCGATGTTTATAAACAATGTTACTTCATATCTCTCTATCTCCCGTCTGATCAATGTTACTTCATATCTTTCTATCTCCCGTCTGATCCATGTTTATAAACAATGTTACTTTGTATCTCTCTATCTCCCGTATGATCAATGTTTATAAACAATGTTACTTTGTGTCTATCTTCTGTCTGATCAATGTTTATGAACAATGTTACATTGTTTCTCTCTATCTCAGAACAATGTTTATAAACACTGTGTCAAATGGTCTTTTTTTCTCAGCATCAGCTTCTACAGCTCCTGTATTTACACAGCAATTCCTGGCTGTCCATTTGGCAGCCAGCAATTCGTGGCAAGTGCCAGCTGAGTTATCTCTCAGAATTGGGGAGCAGAGGAGCTCACCACTTGGCGGGGGGTTTACTAGACTCTTGTTCTGACAGATTTCAGTGAGTTATTCCTAAAAATTAAAGGCCTACAATAAAAAAAATACATATTTCCATGCTCAAAAATGTACCGCTTTGAGCACAGAAATATGGACATAATCAGACCTAGGGAGGTTAAGGTAGGATCTGCTGTTCACTTTTGAACAGTGTCAAAAGCCTGATCCTAAAATATTGGGAAGTTCCTGGACCTCTGTGAGTAGTGGAATGGATACTATGAGTGGACAATACATCTAACAGAAAATATAACAATCTTCCAAAAAGCTAGCTATGAAACATAATACAGAATGAAGGCAAGCTGGTTACACTTCAAAAACACAGCACCCTGTAAATCTTTCCTGGAGACAAGTCCAGAGCTCATAATACAATAGAACGAGTTAAATTAACCAAGAACAGCAATAGATAGGTGGAGGCCTGCTGGACATAAGCCACCAAAGAACAAGCGACTTCACTAACAGCACGCAATGTCACCACCCCTCATCCTAGTGTTTCCATGTTTTTGTTTCTATATGTATAAGGTTTGAAAATCCGTTCCCTGTTGTTAAGGGATGTTTAGTTCTATTTCCACAAACCATCGCCTGAAAATATGTAAATGGTCCCAAATTGTTGGAAAATTCATGTCTACATTGCATTCTGACTAATACTCCCTTTAAAGGCTCGTGTAATGTTCCTGATGTCTGTTGTTTTATTATTTAAATGGAAAAATGTCAATCAAATCTTACCCAGGAAAAAAAAGAATAAAATGTATTTAATGTTGACCATTAAAAAAAAACATCTGCATCTCAGAAATGTTTGCAAAGTGTTTTGTTGACACAGTGACTTAAATCTGAACAGAAAATTAAATGTAGAATGACATTTTCAATGACATTTTCTTAGGGTGGCCTCATATTTTTCTCTATGCAGCTTGTCTTATACAATCACTAGATGACACATGGACTAGGAATACAATTGGAGACACTAGATGACACGTGGACAGGAAGCACACTTGGAATCATTGGCCATACCGGAGTCACTAGATGACGTGGATTGGGAAAGTATTTGGAGTCACTGGGAGTACTGGAGTCACCAGATGACACGGGGACTGGAAGCACACTTGGAATCATTGGCCATACCGGAGTCACTAGATGACGTGGATTGGGAAAGTATTTGGAGTCACTGGGAGTACTGGAGTCACCAGATGACACGGGGACTGGAAGCACACTTGGAATCATTGGCCATACCGGAGTCACTAGATGACGTGGATTGGGAAAGTATTTGGAGTC